CCTAGCCTCACCCTTATAAAAATGCCAAAGGAAAAATGCCATTTTTTAATGGATGGGAAAGCATCACTATAGTTCTCATCTCCTACTTAGGGAAAGCTCTAAGGCCCAATTTACTAACGCTCTAGAAAGACCTATGAGATTTTTCTTTCAGAATTAAACATAGGAAGTCAAAGAATAAATAGTAGCAGTCATTTTTGTTTCAGAGGTACTACCAGAAGGTTGCTCCATCTGCATCTGAATCTAAAGATACTGGAGACGTGGTTAAAGTATCCATGCCACTACTCACGTTATCTTAAGGTGATCTTAGTTGAATTAGTTGACCGCTACATATAGTCTTTCAATTGCTCATAATATATTGCTCTGACCTGGGATGAAACACCTCAGAATGTAAGTATTTGGACTACTTCAGAGAAGAGAAGCATTTGCTCAGTATCCCAAGAGGGTAATCTATACTTTTTTGGAGGGAATGGGGCCAGTAAGACCTGTGGCCACAAGAAAGTTTGCCTAATGGCCTGACTTCACGGAATAGTATTTTTATTAGCTTCAAAGTACAGAACCAGATATGGTTAGAAGTTGCAGAGAGGTATATTTCAGCTCATTTTAAGGAAGAACTTCCTAAAGATGGCGGATGTGTGAAAACGAAGCAGAATGCTTAAGGGAGGGATAGGCTGCTTGGCTGTAGAGGTCTTCAAGACATTCTAGAGTTGAATTCTGCTTAGGTTCGGGTTAGACTTGGTGACTTCTGAGGTTCTTTCCCCAACTCTGAGCTATCATTCTGGGAAAGTGCTCAGCTTTTACTGATATGGTCCTGGCTGAACCTGGGAGGGCCAGACTGCACGCTGAGGAAAGGAAAAGGAAGGAGCTGGGACTTCAATGGAATACTCACAACCTGCAGCAGTAGAAATAAGAGCTTTGGGTTAGTAGGAAGTAAACTTCGTAGGACCAGAGTACAAAAGAATGGAGAACAGAGCCTGGAAAAATAAACCGACTTTTAAATTGACTCCTAGTGCAGTATTTCCTCCCCTCTCCCCTCCCCCTTTCAGGTCTGAACCAAAACCCCATTTCCCCTGCAGGATACCAATTCAGTAAAACTAGTGGCGGCAACTGGCTCTGATTACCATTGCCATGGCCAGCACAGCACTCAGCTGGGCAGAACGAGGGGTACATGTGAGGGGGATGCCGGAGAGGAGGTTAATGAGCCTTCTGGAGCGGCAGAGGTGCCAGTGGGTGTGATGAATAGCTTGCAACCCGCTCTGTGCAATGTGCCCTTCATCATCTAGTCGGGGTGGTTAGTGGACTGTCAGAAAAATATAATTTAGCAGTGGTGGCTTTAACTGATGTGCCGCATGCTGGGGTCAAATGACTATTACAAAGTAGTAGCAGTGCCCGGCTCCTTCATGGTGAGAGCTTCGAGCTGACAACATGAAAGAAAAAGGCACCGTGGCCCGAATTCCCTGACATCCTTCATCTCACAGCCAGGGTAGGGTGGGGAAGAGGAGAGGGAGAGGACTGGGAGAAGTAGAGAGCGAGAGAGACAGCAGGGACATTTCTCTTCGGAGAGAGAAAATGCCAGTTCCGGATGAAGCTTAGCTCACAACTTGCCTACCATTTTAGGAAGCATAAGGCTTAGCTGGGAGGAGAGCCGAGACTCCAAAGAAAAGGATCAGGTCCCTAAACTGCTCATGGTGACCTAGGGTGGCCGGACAACTCCCAGGAAGTGACTAGGATTCTTTCACCCTACAGAAGTTAACAAAGATCAGTGGCAAAATGAAAGGAATTCATCCCTTTATACAGATGGCAATTTAAGGAGCACAATTCATGGACCAGAGGTCAGCAACTTTTGTGGCTCCTAGTGCCAGCAATGAGGTCAAGCGGCATTTTGGTGAAGTGTCACTGATAAGTCCATGCCGCAGATAACAGAGAAGGATAACAGAAATAAGAAAAAAAAGAGGGGAAAGTAAAGGAATGGGAAAGCAAGGGAAGGAGATGGGAGCACAAAGGAAATGAATGATAAAAAAAGGAAAAAAAATCAAGAGGCAGGTAGAGTGATTGTGTCCACTGCCACCAATGATTGTTTCAGGTGACATTCAATAACAGCTATGCCATCAATTTTCTCCTGCTCCTAAGCTATCCTTGGATTCTCTAGAAATCAATTATAATTAAGGTAGGAGGGTCTGGGATTGAAAATATTCAAATGTGATATTGAACATAAAAACATACAATAGTATTGAACACACAAAGCCTAATATCCATCCTTTTTGAGAGATCTGTTTTTTATATCTATTACTGTTGAGGGCTCTACCATCCTTCCAGTCCCCCAGGCTTAAACATAACTATCATCCTTGATTCTGCACTATGTTTCCCCTGCCCCAATCCAATCTGTTGCCAAGGACTGTCCGTTTCACCTTTGCAGCATCCATTGAACATGTTCCCCTCTCTCTCCTCTAATATTACCACTACTCTGGTACAGGCCTTCATCAACTCATGCCTGGACTATTGTAATATCCCTGTGGGTGGCACTCTAATCTCTCCCCACTGCAATCTGTCCTCCACTCAGCCACCCAAGGGATTTTCCTAAAGTGCAGGCCTGACCATGTTACCCCTCTATTCAATAAATTCTAGTATCCCCCTATTGCCTCCAAGATCAAATACAAAATCCTCTGTCTGGTGTTCAAAGACCTTTATAACCTAGTCTCCCCTACCTTTCCAGTCTTCTTATACCTTATTCCCTGCCATGTACTCTTTAATCCAGTAACATTGGCCTCCTTGCCATCAATGTCTTTTGGCTCTGAGCATTTTCTCTGTCCATCCTCTTTATATGTAATACTCTACCTCTTTTCTGTCTCCTGGCTGCTCTGGCTTCCCTAAATGCTAACTAAAATCTCACCTTCTACAGGAAACCTTTCCCAATCCCTTTCAATTGTGGTGTTTTCCCTCTGTTCTATATTTTCTATTTATCTTGTTGTTTGCATGTTGTTTTCTACATCAGATTGCAAACCCTTGAGGGCAGGGACTGTCCTTTGTCTTTTTTTGGATCCCCGGCACTTAGCACAGTGCCTCCCACATAATAAATTAGGCACTTAATAAATGCTAATTGACTAACAGGCTGATTGACAGACTATGACACTACTTTGTATCTAGTAAAATATTCTGTATTAATGCTTGGAAGGAAAGGCAGCAAGACAGATTGAGAAGAGAGATGGCCTCAGCCTCTGGAAGACCTGGGTTCAAGTCCCACCTATGATACATACTGGCTATGTGCCTTTGGGCAAACTCTCAGTGCCCCAGACAACTATCTGAGTCTCTTAAGTTGCATAACAGATACCTTTCCACATTCATAGACATTGACAGATGGAGTTTGCTCACTGGGGCTTCCTACACCAATTACATAATTCTTGTGGTCCAAAGGAGGGAAAACAAAACAAAACAAAATAAAACAAAACAAATCTAAATGTTTCTGTGGCACTATGCATTCATTATGTGACACACTGAGCATTTGATTTACCAAAGTGAACCCCTTCAGTGGAATCTGGTTCTAAGACTGGGGCTATACTACTAAGTCTGTATTTGAGTCCTCTTTTGCTTAATGTTAATGAGGAACAAGTTAAAGAATTCTTAACTTATGGGTCTTTGCAAAATAGCGTAGTGACTGGAAAAAGGCAGAAAAAAGCAATATTTTCCTCTAAGAGAAATCACACAGCACTAACTAGTTGTGTGACTTCAGGCAAGTCACTTCTTTCGAATTCATCCTTGGTTTAGTCATCTACAAAGTGAGAAAGTTTGACAAGAGAAAGTCTGAGGTTATGGAGACAAGATGGCAGAGTAGAGAGAGAGCACTCTAGAACTAGGACCAGAGAGATTCAAGCTCTGCCTCTGACATGGGCCGGCTTCGTAAGCCTCTTGGTGTTCTAGACAGCTCTCTGGTTTTATAAGCTGCAAAGGGGCCAGTATGCACTGGCAGAGAACATTCTTCACCTGGAGCATTAACGAAATCGCAGTTCCAGTCCCAATCCCTAAATTCCCTTTCCTTGTCACTTTTGGTAGACTTCTCTTGCCATTTGGATAATATGCATTTATTTTTAGGTAGTCACAGATCCCTAATCCACCGATCCCTAACTGAACAAAGCAGACACCAACTAGAAAGAACTCTAAAAATAACCAAACAGTGACTTTGGAAAACTAGTGGCCCAATTCAGTTGTCTGCCTTCCTGTGTTTTGTCTTACATCTGTCTGTTTTACCCTCTTCTTCCATCCCCATTCTTGGCTTCTGCAGGGAGGGAGGTGTACTGAGGCCATATGTTATACATGACTTTTACGTGCAATACACAACTCCATTTAGAATGAAAGACTGAAGCAACTGGCTAATTTTTTGGTTTTGTTTGCTTGCTCTGAGATGCTTTCTTAGCTAGAAAACTCAGCCAATATTATTGCCTAAAGAACACTCATAATCATAACATGATTAAAAAATGTTAGCCCTTAAATATCCCTGGAAATCAAATTAATAGAAAGAAATATTTAATAATCTGTCTATATATACTGACCTAACCTATAAAGAAACAGCTTTTTTTTTTTTTGGCTAAAAGGGAAAAAGGAATTCTCCCTCTCAAGCTTTCTTTCTCTCTTTTATCTTGTACTATAGTATCTTCCCTTGTAGTCAGTTGCATCATTACAAAAATTACCTGGCTTCATTAATTCCCTCATTACCTCTGGCAAGTTAGAGCGTTGACATTCTCTCTCCTTTCTTCACATTCACACTGTCCTTTCACCAAAAAGCCTGCAAATTGCTCCTAATGATAAGGACAGAGGGGGAAGAAAGGGGCCTTTTGTGCCCTGGGAAGAAGCCTTGCTTTCCTGGAAAGGACGTGCTTGGCGGTAACACGCTACTTACGGTAATTGGAAGAGAGTGGTCTGCCTGGTCCCCCATTACAGCAAGAACAATAACAATTCACATTCATCTTAGCATTCTTCCACCTGGGTGGCAGCTACCTGAGAATTCTCACCTGTGGCAAAGGGTTACATTTACTCCTGCTGGGAATGTGGCTGGGCAGCCGAATGTTAAAGAGGGCCTGAAGAGCAGCCTGGGCTGCTTGGCCCTTGGCCAGCTTCTTGCTACGTCCTGAGCCTTCAAATGTCCTCCCATCCACTCTCACTGCCATCACAAAGCTCTTGGCATGCTGCTTCTCCACTGTCTCGGAAAGGCAGATGTATCTCAGCCCTGAGCGCAGTTCATTCAGCACCACCACTGGGTTCTTTTCCCTCTCCCCCTGGAAGGCCGACTTGGACTTGGGCTTTGCATGGCCCATCAAGTCCAACCTGTGATAGAGTAACCTCCCCTGTCGGTAAGCTGTTGAGAGCAATTCAGTGTTAACGGGATGGCAGCTGGAAAAGTTATCACTTGGAGGGGACGGTTCAAACTCTTTGAATAGAGTATCTGGGAAATCAGCCTGGTCAGAGGTAAAGTCTGTCGATGGGCTGATGCCATTCCCCATGGCAAAGTGTGCTTGGCATGCATTGGGAAACTGGACAAAAGACTTCAGGGCTAACTCTGCTGCCCTCATCTTGGCTTTCTTTTTTGTGGGTCCTGTGCCTTCAAAGGTAAATCCATTAACTTCGACAGCTACAGCAAAGACAGGAGCGTGGACCGGTCCTGTCTGAGAAACCATTTTATACTGTAAACCTGGTTTCAGTTCGTGGAGTTGGACCAGGGCGTTCTTTGGTGTCACCGACCATGAGAGTTTTTTCCAGATGAGTTGGAGTTTGCAGAAATGGCCACTGTTCCCTTCCTCTAAGGGTCTTTTCCTCTTGATGCTAGATGTACCTCCTCTTGGGTGGTCACTGGATGGCAGTGGCTTCGCCTCCAAGTTGCCCACGTTGCGATTTTCCTTCACTTCTGCACTGTTGGTACCTGGTGGTGAGAATAAATGAGTCACAACAGCAGGAAAGGGTAGGTTGCTATTGCTGATAACTATAGCACCCCGTTTCAGGCTTTGAGATCAAGGAAAACTAAAGCCTCTAAGCTGGCCTCATAAGCAAGGCGAATGTATTCCAGGACCTTAGAAATAGGTGACTGGCCAGCCATCAGTTAGAGAACACACCTTGGTAAGGAAATGCATGAAAACCAGCATTCTATACTTCTTTTGCTGGTAGTAACAGCTGATGCTAGTATTATGATTTAATATTTGCAAAATGCTCTGCACTTTATTTGATCCTCACAACAACTTTGTAAGGTAGGTATTGAAGGTTGCGTGATATCTCATTTTACAGGTGGGAAAACTGAGGCTCGAGGAGGTTAAGTGAATTGCCCACGGTCATTCACTTAGCTTGGTAAGGATGGCTTGGTATTTGAACCCAAGTCTCTCCTGACTCCCAGCCTAGCCCTCTTCCTGTATGAGCATTCTGCCTTCCTGGTAGAAATTATTACACACTGCCTGATGAGTGGGGGAGTAACTACCTGCCACAGATCAATTCGCAATTAGTGCCTTGATGAGCCAAGAAATTCATTCTTAAACAGTTCTGAGAGAGCTATATTTCTGACAAGAGGGGGGTGGGGATGGGAGGAAGGCAGCTAGCCGGCCCAGCCAATGATCCTGTGTGTTATAATCAGTCCTGGATTGTTATGCAGCGGTTGCTGAGCAGGCAGAAATAGCTGCCAATATCCTGCAAAATGAATTTTCCTGCATTTTTCCTACTTTATTCCATCCATTAAAAAGAGAAGTTTATAGAAAGCCTTCTCCTTGCTTGGGGTAGTTTAAACATCCCCTTCAGGATAATGGAGGTAGGAAGGAAATAAACATTTATTAAGTGCCTGCTAAGTGCCAAGCACCATGTTAAGCATTTTAGAAATGTTTTATTTGACAACAACAACCCTGGCAGGGAGGTGCTATTATTATCCCCATTTTACAGATGAGGAAACTAAGACAAATAGAAGTGACTTGCCAGGGTCATACAGCCAGTAAGTATCTGAGGTTGAATTTAAACTCAGGTCTTCCTCACTCCAGGTTGAGGACTCTATTGGCTTTGAAGACTTAGCTGCCTTGAGGGGACAAGACCATAGAATTCAGTGATTCAAATCCTGTCTAATTTTGAGAGCTTTGAGATTCCTAGCTGAGCAACTGTGACCAATGTAATGGCACATTACTCCACAGCAATCATTGTGTCTTTCTTAACAGCCTTTCCAGATACTTTTTGATCCTGGAGGAGGTTCACAGAGGCAGTTAAATGACTCATCTTCAAGTTGGTTTCTTTGGAGGCCAAATCTTTGTGTCATAGAGTCCAGCTCTGAGGCGCCCACTTCACTTTCTGCCCAATGTACTTTGGACCCGCTCCTCCTATCTGCACTCATGACAGGCAGAGAAGAATTCAATCCCCACCTGGAATTGCAGGTGGCATGGGGAGAAGCAGAAGCGATAACTGGAGTTGGGCCAAAGCCAGACATTCTTGGCTTAGGTTAAAAAAACCCAAACCCAAACCCTAGGATTTTTCAGGGGCCACAAGTAGTCATGACACAATTTGGAGGTTTTATCTAAAAGAATATGGACCTGTTGCAGCACCTCTGACCATTCTGGTCATCCCCTCCCCTGGCATGTAGTTTGATTGCACACTTGACTTCCTACATCTCTGTCAAGAGATTTCTTGCCAAAGACTCAATTTAGTTTGACCTTCTAGGACCTAGGACAGAGGTTCTTTTTTTTTCTTTTTAAGATTTTGACAACTATATCTCAGTATAATTGAGTTTCTTTGTAAACTTCTATTTTACTTTGTGCATTTAAAAACATTTTTTTTTTCTGAGAGGGGACCCTTAGGCTTTACCAACCAGCCAAAGAGATTTGTTGACAAGAAAAAGGTTAAGAGTTTCTGACCTAGGAGATCCTCAGAGAAAGCTTTACATGAAGAGATGGTCCATGGCCTGAATGAGGTCCCCAAATTTTCTATATGGGGCAAAAATTCGGTCCTTTCTGTTTATCCCTTCCTTCAAGAAAATGATAAATAGGGGCAACTAGCTGGCACAGTGGATAGAGCACCGGCCCTGGATTCAGGTGGACTTGAGTTCAAATCTGGCCTCAGACACATAACACTTACTAGCTGTGTGACCCTGAGCAAGTCATTTAACCCCATTGCCTAAAATAACAAAAACAACAACAACAACAACAACAACAACAGATAATGATAAATATGCAAAACAGCAGACTCCAAGGTTAATCTTCAGCTATTTTCCTTTGCCCCATGGCAGTTTGGCCAGTATTATGTGACCATCACTACCTATGCCCACCCTAATGGTTTTAACGTGTCCCATGAACACTAAGCTTCAAAAGTAGCTCTCTCCTAGTCTTAACTGACTTTCAAGGCAAACAGGTGGCATTTAGTTCTGCTATCTGCTCCCTCCTCTCATTTATAGCCCTGTTATCTGAGCCCTCCTTGCCCATATGTTTTTAAAAGTACATTTTTTTGAACACTGAAAGACTCACTTGCATTTTCAGGTACTTACTTCCTATGGAAGATACTGGCCTCTCATTTCCTTATTTAGGGTTCATTACCCTAAAAGGAATTTATCCAAGTTTAAATCAGAAGTTTGAGGGAGGCATCAAACTTAAAATTCTAGGCTTTCTTCAAAGTTTCTGGATTTAAAAAACATCAATCTACCTGGGGACCAATATATGGATATTAAAAAAAAAGCCATATAGTAATGATCTAAGTAATCCATTCTCATTACCAACTGCCTGAATAAACATTTCCTTCTAAAATCTGAGGGATGGCCTGGCATAGGCAGCTCCTTAGCAATAGAATTAATAATGCTTTCACATGATTGTCATGTGCTTGATTTATGTGTGTGTGTGTGTGTGTGCGCGCGCGTGTGTGTATATATATATATATATATATGTATATATATGTATATATATATATATATATATATATATATATATATATATATATATATATATATATTTGCTTTTTGGTAAGGCAATTGGGGTTAAGTGACTTACCCAGAGTCACACAGTTAGTAAATGTCAAGTGTCTGAGGCCGGATTTGAACTCAGGTCCTCCTGACTCCAAGGCTGGAGCTCTATCCACTGAGCTACATAGTTGCCCCCCTTGGCGTTTTTTTTTTTTTGGTTGAGTTATATTTTAATAAATCATACATGTTTGTATTCCAGTGCTTAGCAGAGTACCTGGTACATTGTAGGAGCTTAGTAAGTTGTCATTGATTAATTTCATTCAAATACATTTGGCATACCCGTAGAAGATAATATTAAGGGCAATAAAAATAAAAATAGAATCTTTTGCCATCTAAAATAGCGCTCTCCAAAGTGGGCACTGAGGTAATTTGGAGGGGCCATGACATGACTCCAAGGATTATGTTATCAATCTAGTAGAAGGTGGGGTGATGGGTTTCATACCACTGTCCCCATGGCAATCAAATTGTGGACAGGTCTCCAACACAATTATATGACTCCCTCTGTTTATTAGAATTTTCTGCCTCCTCCAATTCTGCCTATTCCTGCTTCCAGTCTCCCCCCACTCCACTGGGCTAGAATCTCTCGGAGTACAGATATATATATATGTGTATATATATAATATGTATATTATATATACACATATATATATGTAACCTGAGACCTAAGAATCTACAATGGCTGTACAGGAAAAACACACCCTCACCCCAGTCTGTAAAACCTCATATCTGCCATAGGCACTGGCTAATAAGACATAGCCCACAATCACCTATGTGTAGTTTAGTATTGTTGTATGTGAGAGAAAAAATAAACGGCACAAGATGAGCAGGTATCAGGAGGATGTGGTCTGCATCAAATACATTATGTTTCTGAGCAAATCCGCCCCTCGTCTGAATTCTCTTTTTGTCAAGAGTACATCGTCCTTCCAGTCATCCAGGTGAGAACTTCAGAGCAATCCTCAACTCTTCCTTCTGCCTCAATCCACATATTCAATTAATTGCCAGATTTTTTTTTCTATCCCCACAATAATCTTCCACATCTGTCCCCTGCTCTCCACTTACAGAGTCACTTCCCTGGCTGAGGCCCTCAACCTCTCTCACTGGACCATTGCAGTAATATCCTAATTCGTCTCCCTGGTTCAAATCTCATTTCCAAACTGCCTTCCATGTAGCTGTCAATCACTCCCCTACTCAATTAACTCCAATGGTTACTCATCCACTTGAGGTTCAAAGTTAATGTTTCCTTTTTAATTTCTATTTTTGCCTTTGTTTTATAATGTACATAATTATTGGTACAGTGATAGACATAATTTATAATATACATGTAGGTAATATATATACTTATTTTTTTTTAACAAGATTTCAAAAGGATTTAGAGACCACTGGTCTAAAATGTCTTACTTTCCCCTTAACTTCTTTGCATTTGGGAAAACAACAAATACTATGCTTATAACACTTATCCCCTCCTCTTCTTCCTCCTCCTCCATTAATAAATCAATATGTATTTATCAAGGACATACCATGTGCCAGCCAGACACAGTGCTAAGTACTGGAGATACAAAGAAAAAACTGAAATGTTCCCTGACCTCAAGGAGCTTACGTTCTACCAGAGGAGACAACATGTAAATATATACCTTATTTATGTAGGTTGATGGAAGGGTAGTACATGGACAGCGGAAGATCAGGAAAGGCTTCATCTAGAAGGTAGGCTTGAGCTGAATGAAAGCCCTAGGAAACTAGATATTCTAAATAGTGGATGTGAGCAGGGAATTTATTTGAGACAAGGGGCTTAGCCAGTGCTAAGGTATAGGAGGAGAGAAAAAGAATGATGAACCATGTATAGCAGAGGTGTCAAATACTCAGCTAATTCATTCCTGAACTCAATTAAAATGTAAATGGGAAATATCTAACAAAAAAAAGAAAAATATCATAGAACATAGATGATGTTAATATGT